CAGATAGAATTCCTATTGCCCCTTTGGTAGGTTTTCAAAGTAACAGACTGGCAGGTCCAGATCCGCCGCCTATGGAAGCACCCTTTACCAAGAAAAGCCTTGGGCACGAGAGCCTGTGTTCACACGGGTTTTGATGCATGAGCCCGACAAGAAAGAATCGTTCCACAAGGTGGATCTGTTCCACACGGTCAATACGGGAGTCGGGAAAACGTTCGCTGCAAGCTCGCTGGTCGTCCTTCTGAAACACTGCCCCGGGAATTCAGTGGAGGAGCGATTGTCTCAGCTTTCAGGCTGGTACTTGGAGTTTTGCAAAGACTCGTGGCTCCTAAGATTCTCAAGCCCTCTTGGACGTTTCTATTCGTTTCGGGGGTCTAGACTCTGAGAATACATCCTTTATTTGCGAACCCAGCTCCACAGCCAAGACATCACAGCAAGAATCAAAAAACTCACCCTCAAAGCCTACGCTGATGCGGTCGTATGCCTGCATACATGCCAGGACTAAGAAACAAGACATATACATCCTGGCGCCGTGGCATGTCACGAGCGCATCAATACGAGCAGCTACCCCTGTGAGAAAAGGCAGCCCGAAACACGGCGGAAACTGCTTCCTCTAGGCAGGGGCATGAGAGGCACTTCAAGAGCCTCCCTCACCGCGAAGGGTAGGCTACGAGGGTTATTTGCAAGCGGCGAATGCAGGCTCAGGGCAGGTAGAAGCGTCGTCACATCCTAGGCAGGCACACAGTCGTTCACCTCAATCTGTGGCAGAGTTTTCTGCCCGTCGCCGCAGCACCGCTCGAGCGCGGTGGCTGCGTAGTAAAACGGACAGTTCCTGAAGCAACTCAGAGTGTAGCACCGACGGCTGTGCGTCTTCGCGCGCAGCGGAAGCGCGGGAAAGGAGGAGAAGGATCTTCGCCGCTTCAGGCTCCCAAGCGCCAGTGGCTTCTGCGACCAGGGGCGCGAATTTGAGCCCCTGCTCGGTGCAAACCCGGGCAGTGTCCAAATGCGACGATTTGACCTCTGCACAGCCAGTGACGGCGGCCAGTGCGTGCTGACCAGCCCTACCCAGGGACTCTCCTGCCGCTGCGGCGCTGTGATAGCGAGGTCAAGGGCAGCATGAGTTCCATAGAGGGATGGCAAATAGATGTCTGCAGGGCGTCGGTGAGCCACACGAGCGTCATCTGGACCCTGGGGCAGCAAGAGGCCCGGCTTTTCGAGCTCCGGGCGAAGACCGGCACGCTCGGCCCACGCAGCGAGGAGGTCACGCACAGCATTGTGGCGTTGGTTGCGCTCCCCTCCCGCAACGCAGGTCCCGGCATGTAGCGAAAAACGGTCCAGAACTCCCTCACAACACGTGCAAAAGACGTCGGTAGAGGCGTCAGCAAGACCCAGGCGCTGACGAAGCTCAACGACGAACGCCGCAGGCTCAAGGCGCTTGCGGCCGGATGGCACTGCGGCCAACCACGCTCGTCCCGCTCGCACTAGCGAATCGAACCTGTGGAGCTCAGAAGTTAAGGCCTGATGTGGCGTGCAGCGAATGCTGTGCACCACGCGACAGTGACCCGCACAGGACCGGAGAAGCTTGACACCGACCTGAGGATCCTCCAGCTCCGCCAAGGCAGCCAAGAGGGGCTCGGCCTTGGAGACTCGAGCCGCCGTGTGGGCCGCGACGTAAGCATCATCGGCAATCGCCGCCCCGAGCAGCTCAAAGTTGCGCAGAACCCGATCCTGGCCGTCCGCCGAGCGGAGCAATGCAGAGGGGAGGTGCGGATGCAGGTCTGCGGCGGTGGTGCTGCCCACTATTTGTGGTAATTTCGACGAACCAAGGAGAAGAGGAAAACGAGTTATATCCAACGAATCACCCGTGACACATTGGCATTTTCTTTGGAGGCAAAAGATTCACTCGGCGGCTGGAACAAGGGAGCATTGACAACGACTCTTTGTCAATTCGTGGAATGGTTTTGCGACTTCCAGCAACTTCAAAGGAGCACTGACGAGAGGGACCACTTGATCGCGAGATGGAGCCGTGCTTTGAACCTTTTTATGAAGCTGCTGTATGCTTCTGAGCTGTGGATCCCGACTGCTGAAGCCACAAGGATAGCATCTGCTGGCAGGCATGGGGCATACAGCCGCCTCGCACGGTTGTCCTTGGACAACCGCGAACTGAGATTCGCGATGATACCGAAAGTGCATCTTCTGTGGCACGTCATCGAAAGCATGATGTCGCAATGCGAGAACTTTACCGAGGTCGAGAATCCTTTATCCCAGGCCGTCGCTATCGATGAAGATTTTATAGGAATGTACTGCGCATTGACAAGAAGTGTATCACCCCGTTTGAGGGTTCTTCGCTCTCTGGAGCGGTACCTTACACAGATCCAACTCCAGTGGATGAGGCAGAGTTGAAAAGGAGACAATTTCAGCACGTGTCCACCCTAACCTTCCATTCCGAGGCCCATGACACGCAACCAGATTTAGGGTTCAGACTTCGGCACTTAAAGCTTCTTTTCTGGTTCCTGAATAGGGGATAAGAGAATACCCGACCTGGACCCGTGTTAAGCGTTCGGGGTCGTAAACAACCGTTCGACCTTCAGGATTCCTGCAGAATCCCAGAACCACACGGCAAATAACGGAACAGAGGCTTAGCAGGTAAGGCTTTTATTGGTTTTGTTATTGATTCTGTTTTGCTTGTTTCTATTGATTTCATGGCAAGCTTTCCATGCTGCCATTTTGCTCAAGCACTTGAGGGCATATATGTATTTGCCTACTGTTTGGTCTGCCGCAAAAACATGGAAGTCTGGAAGTGCTCCTGAACCCCCCAAGCCTGAGCAGCAATCTTACACAGCTGCCGAAACCTCTCGTGGTGTCCTTCAAAACCAGTCCTTCCACAGCCAGGTAACTCAGGCACCACAAAGTGGTGCGGGGCCCAGCGATCTTCCACTTCATATCGTGCTCCTTCGAGGCGGCCACCACTTCACTCAGAGGGCGCTCCGGACATCCGAGCGCATTCAGCTGCACAGGCAAGATCCTCCGGTCATTTAGTGCCGGCCGGTTGTTGAACTCGAGTACGCTGGCCTCGCTGATGCACATGCAGAACACCTGCGACCCATCCGCCAGTCCATGGACCACCCGAGCACCTTCAACATGAGGTGCCATCACGCCCGGCACTGGCTCGCCGTAGCTAAGGCTGCTAACCGTCTCGGCAGCAACCCAAACCAACCCTTGACCAGTAAGATCACCAGCTCCTGGAGCCACAGCTCGCCCACCTGACCCAGCGGCCAAGGCCGCCAAAGGAGCCGCAGCTCGCGGGGCAGGCCCCGCTTGAACCATGGCCCCAGCGGCTCCCTGGCCACCACTTAAAGCCAACTCAGCACCAGAAATTCGAGCAGCCTCCGCCTTGAAACCCCCAATCTCGCCGGCAGCAAACACTGGAAAACGATACAAAGACCCAGCCCTAAGACCAGCAGGCATCGCTCCGTTTGCGGGCAGCACTCGCAAGGCTCTCAGGTCGTCGTTGCTCAAACAAATGGTCTCCACATACAAATCCCCATCAGGAATCACAACTACGTAGTCATCCCCCTCGACATGATGCAGCAGAAGCCTTTCGTGCCAAAGTCCCGGACCCGGCACGTCATAAAGCAAAAGGACCCTCTTATTGCCTCTTATCGACCAGCGCCATGTCGCCTCAGCCGAAGAGCAGCAAGCTGTTGTTGGGCCAATTGCCTGGTTTCGCTGGGGGTCCGAGGCGACTCGGACTCTGATGCCTCCTTGTCCTCTATGGTCAATGCGCGGGACGCCGGCGGCAGACAGCCACCAATCCGCAGAGCACCCAGTTCAAGACCGAAGCAACCACAAGCCAGATAAGAATGCTCAAACTAGCAAAGTCGGTTTGCAGGGATGGTTTGCGCTTGGACTCCCGCTTGCTCTTGCCCTCTTCGCTGCAGCAGCTCTCTTCAATCACAGAAGTGCAGTGCTCGACCACAGACCGGGAGGCCTCGCCAACGGCCGCTTCGATCACCTCCCTCTGATTTGTTGGATGAATCAGCAAGTCTTTTGTAGTATACCCTAACAGCCAACTGAAGAGATGCCCTGCAAGCACCGATAGCAGTGATGCGGGACGACCCATGGGACCTACCAGTCCTCTTTTTGAGCTTGTGCGGCGGCGACGCACTTTATGCATCGGCCCTGGACGGCTAAGCCTATGCAAGAACGTTCACAGAACTCACATGCAGACGTGTCCAAACTTGTCGGTGTTATGTCTGTGCACTGCACAACATATATACATATATATATGTATGTATGTATATGTAGGATTTAGCTAGGGGATTTATGTTGTGTATACCAGGCTAGCTAGATGGACCCTAAAGGTATCGGGCTCATACATATACATGTGTTTAAACACATACATACTGAACGGACATTTTGCTGGTCTAATCGCTGAGCACTCTGCTCTCCAGGTTTGAGCCAACAACGAGATTATGTAGAGTGAAATATACAACCTACATCCTATGAAAACTCTCACGTCGAACCAATTTCTCTCAAAGCCTCTAATCCTGTTGCTGGCCAGCTCGCAAAAAGCACCTCTTGCGAATCACCAACAAAACCAACTTCAAGATGACCAACCCCTGTGAACTCATCTCAAAACTTTCTCCACAGGCTTCTGTCGGTTTTCTTGACATGCGGAGATACGCACAGACTTTCGAGTCCAACTGCAGACTCCTACCACCGCTGGTGTATTACTATCCTTTCCATAGAGAAATGGTACACTAATTTGATCCGTTGCTGTTTATGGATTCTTCCTCTCGCCCCGTAAGCTTGACACCAATGGGCGAACGAAATATGAACCGAATTGAATGCACTAGAACATACCCAGATAATTAACTCATATTAACTATATATATATATATATATATATGTATTCTTATTTGTCTACATGTTTATTTGTATTTGACTCTTTGACTAAAGCAACTATAGATGGATACAACGCCTTCATTTCCGAGCAAGGCCTCTCGCCGGCGGGGCCAGCTCCCCTGGAAGCTCCGCAGCGCCTGGCCCACCTCCGCGGAGCTGTGAGTTCCCCGCTCTCTTAGGATAGGACATAAGACACCGAAAACACCTTTCACTTCGTCGCCCTCTTTGTAGCTTTCTGTGCCGCTCTTCTGCCGTTGCTGCGCTCTGCGCTCGGCCTCCGCGTCGTAGTGGGCCCAGGCAGGGGCAGCGGCGCAGTACTCCAGCGCGTAGTCGCTCCGGTCCTCTCTCTCGGGAGACTCGGAGCAGCCGAGAGCAAGCACCAGGTCCACTTCGCATCCTCAATGCTCAGGAAGATGCCACGGAGGCCGGGGTGCGTCAGGAAGCTGGATGCCTCGGGACCCGTATGCTGTGCCATGATGTTCCCTTCTTGGCCTGTGGCCTCGCAGCTGACGCTGCCGGGATCCACCTTGCAGCGGCCAGCGCCGGGGAGGCGTCTCCGTTGGTGCCACACTTGAATTCGACGCCTCTTGCGGGGCTCCGGGAGCATTCTCCCCTCCCGGCGTCTCCACCTATAGACGGTGTGATCACACTTGGGGTAGAGGGCGCAGGAGGCACGGGCAGGCCGCGCCTCCACCGTCAGGGCCGGACCCAGCAAGGGTCTCAAGGGTCCCAGAGCCTCGGACTTCTTTTGGCCCTGAGCGGAGCCAAGAGCTGCGCACGGTGCAGAAATGCGCCGCCCTGCAGAGCCTCGGTCTGGCCGTGGTGCGGGTAGAGGCCTCTGACAGCAGAGCTCTGTTTTGAGCAACTCTGCAACTCTACTCTAAATTAGATGCTCTCCAACCTGCTCCGGCCGGATAGCGTGCAGCCACCTTGCAAAGCTCTGAGTCCCCACGTTTCTGTTCCCTTCGCCTTGATGCTCTCTTGGTCTCAGCTTCTCACGGAGAGGCCGTAGCTCGTCCACGGCAGCAATCCGGTGAGTTCCACCTTCTCTGATCTACGCCACAGCAGACGGCGCCGCAGGCTCATGCTCGCCCTCTCCGCTTCCGCGAAAGCCTGCAGCTGAAGGTCTTTCTCCTCTTCGGCTTCAGCCAGGCGGATGTCCTTGCGCTACAACGAAGACTTCGGAAGAAGAAGCTTTCGGGGCGCTTTTTTCTGCGGCCAGCTGGGCCTGGAAGCAGGAGGCCAGGCGCGCCAGGGACATCTCCGGCTGGTCCAGCAGCCGCTGGAACTGCAAGGAGATAGAGGGAAGGGCAGTATCAGTCTCTCTTTCTCGCCAAGCTGGCGTGAGGCCATGAGCTGGTCAAGTCTTCGAGTCTTCGAGGCCCAGCCTGTGCAGAGGCCAGGACCTGCGCATCCGGGCGTCGAGGCCTCGGCGGCGCTGTGCCAGGTGCCAGTGTGCTGGTGCTGTGCTGTGGGTTTCCCGGCTCGTGCAGGAAGCAGAGCGACTCCACCCTCTCTCTCCTGCTCGCGCCGCTGCCGCCGCTCGGCGCCGAGGCCTGCAAAAGAGTCTTAACCGAAACGCCGCGCTGGCATGCCACGGGCATCTCCGCCTGAGCGGCGTCCGAGTCAATGGCGAGGGGCTCGCAACGCAGCGCGTACTCCAGGCCTGAGCGAATTCCCGGGGCTGGGCTGCGGACATGCGACGACCGCTGCTTAGACCGCGCCACCGCGCCGCACGTATACCGGGACGTACCGGTCCGGTGCCCGGTGCGGCAACGTGCCGAAACAGCCTCGGCCTCGGCTCAGGGCAGGAGATGCCCGGCAGCCGCTGGAAGGGAGGCCAACCTGAGAAAGCGGAGGCCCAGCCCTGCCAACCGCCGTGCGTCGCAGGGACAAAAAAAGCTTGGCAAGCTCCCTCATGCTCCAATGCTCCCTGCACCTCAGAGCACTGCCGCAGTTCACCGGGCTCCGAGCTCACTCGCAGAGAGGTTGGCCCAGTCGCTTCGGCGCTCACTTTCCCGCTCCTTTTTGAAAGCGAAGCAAAAACAGGCACAGGGCGCTGCCGACTGCCGCCGAGGGCTCCTCGGCGGCAGCGGCAGCGGCAAAGGAAGCGCTTGCGGCGAAGACCAGGCGCTCCAGCATGACCTCTGCAAGTCTCAGCAAGGGTGCGCGCGACCCGATTAGCGCCGTACTGCGGCAGACTTAGAAAGACTCCCAAGGCCACGGCCAGCGGTGCTCGGTGCCCACTCGCAGAGAGGCCTCGCCAACGCCACGACCCAGTGTCACACGCGCCGGAGCGGAGCGTCGGAGCTCCGCTCGGCGCCTCGAGGAGCTCGTGGCCCGTCACCAGCTCCCGCAGCGACGCCTCCGCCAGGTCCGCCTGCCGCCGAGGCAGGGCAGGGCGCCCTTGCATCTCTCCGACGGAGAGCATCCGGATACCGCCCGGCCTGGAGCTCGTAGCGAAGGCCCATCCAGCCCAGCAGACCAGCGACCAAGGCCTCCGTGTGTGAGAGAGCAGAAGCAGATCCGGGCCCACCCCCCATGGGCCCATGCCTCCTCGGGGCTTTCGGGTGTGACCTCGCCATCCACCACCAAAGCCTGGCGAGTGCAACGATCGTATGCAGGCTGACACAATGCGATGCAAGGACTGAGTGACTGTTGTGAACCCGATCTTGCAAAGGGCCACATGGCCTTGCACATCTTCGGAAACTGCGCCTACTCCAGTTTGCTTTAGCACGTTCGAGTATCGGATCCTGGCTGAGATGCAGCCTTGCACATCTTCCAAAACTGGGTCAACTCCAGTTTGCTTGAATTTAGTTTGAATATCACATCCTGTCTGAGATGCAGCCTTGCACATCTTCCAAAACTGCGCCTACTCCAGTTTGCTTTAGCACGTTTGAACATCGGATTCTGGCTGAGATGCAGCCTTGCACATCTTCCAAAACTGCGCCTACTCCAGTTTGCTTTAGCACGTTCGAGTATCGGATCCTGTCTGAGATGCAGCCTTGCACATCTTCGAAAACTGGGCCAACTCCAGTTTGCTTTAGCACGTCCGAGTATCGGATCCTGTCTGAGATGCAGCCTTGCACATATTCGAAAAGTGGGCCAACTCCAGTTTGCTTGAATTTAGTTTGAATATCGCATCCTGTCTGAGATGCAGCTTTGCACGTCTTCCAAAACTGCGCCTACTCCAGTTTGCTTTAGTACGTTTGAACATCGGATTCTGGCTGAGATGCAGCCTTGCACATCTTCCAAAACTGCCCCTACTCCAGTTTGCTTTAGCACGTTTGAACATCGGATTCTGGCTGAGATGCAGCATTGCACATCTTCCAAAACTGCGCCAACTCCAGTTTGCTTCAGCACGTTCGAGTATCGGATCCTTGCTAAGATGCAGCTTTGCACATCTTCGAAAACTGGCCCAACTCCAGTTTGCTAGAATTTAGTTTGAATATCGCATCCTGTCTGAGATGCAGCATTGCACATCTTCCAAAACTGCGCCTACTCCAGTTTGCTTGAATTTAGTTTGAATATCACATCCTGTCTGAGATGCAGCTTTGCACATCTTCGAAAACTGCGCCTACTCCAGTTTGCTTTAGCACGTTTGAACATCGGATTCTGGCTGAGATGCAGCCTTGCACATCTTCCAAAACTGCGCCTACTCCAGTTTGCGTTAGCACGTCCGAGTATCGGATCCTGTCTGAGATGCAGCCTTGCACATCTTCGAAAACTGGGCCAACTCCAGTTTGCTTGAATTTAGTTTGAATATCGCATCCTGTCTGAGATGCAGCTTTGCACATCTTCCAAAACTGCGCCTACTCCAGTTTGCTTTAGCACGTTTGAGTATCGGATCCTGTCTGAGATGCAGCTTTATACATCTTCCAAAACTGCGCCTACTCCAGTTTGCTTTAGCACGTTTGAACATCGGATTCTGGCCGAGATGCAGCCTTGCACATCTTCGAAAACTGGGCCAACCCCAGTTTGCTTGAATTTAGTTTGAATATCGCATCCTGTCTGAGATGCAGCTTTGCACATCTTCGAAAACTAGGCCAACTGCAGTTTGCTTTAGCACGTTTGAACATCGGATTCTGGCTGAGATGCAGCCTTGCACATCATCGGAAACTGGGCCTACTCCAGTTTGCTTTAGCACGTTCGAGTATCGGATCCTGTCTGAGATGCAGCCTTGCACATCTTCGAAAACTGGGCCAACTCCAGTTTGCTTTAGTACGTTTGAACATCGGATCCTGTCTGAGATGCAGCTTTGCACATCTTCGAAAACTGGCCCAACTCCAGTTTGCTTTAGCACGTTTGAGTATCGCATCCTGTCTGAGATGCAGCCTTGCACATCTTCCAAAACTGTGCCTACTCCAGTTTGCTTTAGCGCGTTTGAACAATCGGATTCTGGCTGAGATACAGCCTTGCGCATCTTCCAAAACTGCGCCTACTCCAGTTTGCTTTAGCACGTTTGAACATCGGATTCTGGCTGAGATGCAGCTTTGCACATCGTCGAAAACTGGGCCAACTCCAGTTTGCTTTAGTACGTTTGAACATCGGACCCTGTCTGAGATGCAGCTTTGCATATCTTCGAAAACTGCCCCAACTCCAGTTTGCTTTAGTAAGTTTGCTTTCTAAGGTGCAGCTTTGCACCTCTTCGAAAACTGGCCCAACTCCATCCAACTCCAGTTTGCTTGAATTTAGTTCGAATATCGCATCCTGTTTGAGATGCAGCTTTGCACATCTTCGAAAACTGGGCCAACTCCAGTTTGCTTGAATTTAGTTTGAGTATCGCATCCTGTCTGAGATGCAGCTTTGCACATAATCGAAAACTGGCCCAACTCCAGTTTGCTTTAGCACGTTTGAGTATGGGACCCTGTCTGGATGCAGCTTTGCGCATCTTCGAAAACTGGGCCAACTCCAGTTTGCTTCAGCACGTTCCACATCTTCGAAAACTGGCCCAACTCCAGTTTGCTTGAACTTAGTTTGAATATCGCATCCTGTCTGAGATGCAGCTTTGCACATCTTGGAAAACTGGCCCGACTCCAGTTTGCTTTAGCACGTTTGAGTATGGGACCCTGTCTGGATGCGCATTTTCGAAAACTGGGCCAACTCTAAGCTGCAGCTTTACACATCTTCGAAAACTGGCCCAACTCCAGTTTGCTTGAATTTAGTTTGAATATCGCATCCTGTCTGAGATGCAGCTTTGCACATCTTCGAAAACTAGGCCAACTGCAGTTTGCTTTAGCACGTTTGAACATCGGATTCTGGCTGAGATGCAGCCTTGCACATCATCGGAAACTGGGCCAACTCCAGTTTGCTTGAATTTAGTTTGAATATCGCATCCTGTCTGAGATGCAGCTTTGCACATCTTTGAACGGGCGGTCAGCTCACTTCTTTTTGGCCAGAGTTCAGAAGATCACTTGCTGCTGCATGCCGTCGGACTCACCGTAGGCGATAGACGACAGCGGGAGGCACAATGGAATGAAAGCCATATGGCATAGAACACCCCCAGCACTTCAAGCACTGGGCGGGATGGGTGGGAGAGACTTGAGCATATTCACATGCGGCCGTCAAACGTTCGGAAGGCCTGCGATCATACCTGTTCAAGAACATCAATGAACGGGCGGTCAGCTCACTTCTTTTTGGCCAGAGTTCAGAAGATCACTTGCTGCTGCATGCCGTCGGACTCACCGTAGGCGATAGACGACAGCGGGAGGCACGATGGAATGAAAGCCATATGGCATAGAACACCCCATACCAGCGCCCCATCACAGCAAGCTCTCTGGCATTGTATGCCGTGAAATGGCCTCAATAGTTATACGCATGTCATGGTTCGCGAACTCCTGAGCGAGAAGGTTGCATAACCTGACAGGGTAAGGCTCGGCTATCTGCGTCATCCAGCGCCCGTCTGGGGCTTGTCCAGCGAGGGGAACGTGCGCACGACCAGTGCGCTTGCAGGCCCCGCGCCTCGATCCCAAGCATCGAAAGAAATTCAGCCTGTGCAGGTCGATGTGGACGGCTGCAAACATGGTAGACTTTCGCCAGGGGGCGCCGAACATGCAGTACTCACATGGTCCATGATCTGACACTTTTACGTCGGAGCAACCGAGTCACTGGCCCGCACAGCCAGAGACGAGAAGCTGCTGGGTTCTCCAGCGTACAAGGGACTCCGAAGATACAGCACATGTTCATGAACCTGACAGAGAAACGCATGAGCGCATTGCCGGTGCGAACTTTCTGGAAATCACTTAGCGCGAGACCGGGCAGTCCCATAGGCTGAGTGTCTGAGCGAAGCGACGCCGAAGCGATGAAAGGCCGGGCCTGCGATCACGAGCTCGGCTAAAGCTGGCGCAGGGAGTGCCTAGATGGGCCGCTCGCACAAGCCCTGCACGTAACCACCCAAGGATTTTCCATTGATTGACTGGACTTGTCAGATCGTAAGCTGAGCCGAGGGATATGTCCCACAGCAAAACAGGCCAACATGTGTGTTGGCCGACTGCGCGTCCCAAACGACCAGTGCCTGAAAAGATCTCAATGAAGACTGGTACGCTTCCAATGCTTTTCACGAGTGCAGGCCTTGGAGAGTCTTGGGCAAAGCTGTGGCTGCTGCTATAGCTTTTGCACGCACATCGGCGGGAAGGAGGTTGAACAACTGAGCCAGGCGTCCACCTTTTTGGTACCGCCGCACACTGTTAAACTGCGCCAACGCCCACACAGCTGTACCTCCTGGAGGCTGCGCAGGTTGTGGCTGAAGTCGTGACTTACGCCGCCATGCCGTAGGCGATAAAGGTGAAGATACCCCAGCGCCTGCAAATTGAGCGCTTGGCTTGCTTCCTCCATGAACTGGTTGAGGGCGCCAGCGGTGACCGAAAAGATATTTTGATTTGGCGGCATTGTCTGCACTTTCAGACACCTCCACAGGGCTGCTCCGAGCTGCTGGTGACACGCGAGATCCAACATCAGTGTCTCGTCGTACTCCTGAGTTTTTGATGGAATCTGGCACTCGAAAGGATGTAGCACAAACCCCCAGCGGCTGAACGGTCCCCGCCCACGCGTGGGACGGATCATGTCCTGGGCCCGAATACGGAGCCCCTCCGACGGTCTCAAGTACAGACTGAAGGCGAGCAGGAGGAAGAGCCCGATCTCGATCTGTCCGAGCCCAAATGCCCATGCTGCCATCAGCGCCACCACCTCGAAAGGCAGTGGGAGCTGGCTCTTCGCTGGGGCCAGCTTTCGCCAACCAGTCAAGCTCTGTTTCACCCGAGGCATCGAACTCGTAGTAGAGGTCCTGAGCCCTGGGTTGAAGTAGAGCACTGCAGCCACTGTGTACTGGGCCGTCGCCAAATCGGCTCCGTCCAAGAACAGAGCCTCGAGGTGGTCGCAAAGGATGGACTCGACCTCCGCCATTGGTTTGAGGAGGCCATTGGCCTTGCACAGCTTTGGCGACAGTTCGTCCCAAAGTCCCTGATAGCGCAGCCGACATGCTTTGCTGACCGATGCTTGTTCTAGGATCGTGGTATTGTTGTGCTCTCTCTGCATCTGCTCCCTTGCCGTCCTCGGGCCTGCCGCCTCTCCTTCACAGTAGGCTCGCGAGCCACACAATGGGCTGAAGCTGGATTGTATGCGGCCGGAACCGCTGGCACGGACCGGCTGGCAATTTTTCCTTCTGTGACCGACCTTTCTTCACTCCGCACTTTGCCGGACACGGCGGATCCAGGATGATGCCCCGATGTATCATGCGAGCGAGAGGCCTCGAGAGGCTTTGGCCGAGACGGCTTCCAAGTGCCCCGGCTGGACCTCCCGCGCGATAAAGCGCCACAGGATGTCAAAGAGTCTGTGAGGATGAGATGCCTGAGGCCAAAATTGCTGGTCGTCCTCAGGATGTGTTTCACAGCAGTAAGCGCAGAACGAGCTTCGCCCACAGGGAGCGTGAGTGGTGACCTCCATCGATGCGACACCACCGTCGACCACTCCCGGTCAACTACCGAGAAAGGGACGGGCTCAAAGGAAGACGACTTTCGTCGATGCCAGGCCGCATCAGTCACATCGCCATCCGGTCCAAAACTGTCCTGAAGACCATCAAGCTTGAGAGCAAGACGACGAGCAACACGGGCGTCTTCGTCCTTGAACCTCCATCTCTCGTTGTATCGCCCGACTCGCTTGACGCCTTCATAGTCAAGGCTGGCGGTAGTCACGCCCATCCCCCACAATGAGGCATCGACCGCATGAATGGTCTCGCTCCACTGAGCCCTGAGGTCCTGGAAAATAAGAGGACACACGGAATCCCACATCCAAAGTTCACGTTTCACACCGCGGGGCAGTCCGTGCTCAATGTCATTGCCCGCGTGTTGTCTCATAAACTTGTAGACCTCCGCGAAAATGCCTAAGCACTCTCGCCTGGCCAGAGAGATGAAACTGCACAACCCAATCAGGATCTCCAGCTGCTTTCCACTGGCCCGCCTCCTACGTAGCAGGGCCCGTATGGCCAAACGAGTTTTCCACACCCTCCTCGCGGTTGGACCAAAGAAGCCACTGTTCTCAAACTCCCACCCAAGAACACACGCCTTCTCATCGCAGACCTTCTCCTCGTGGACTTGGAGTCCCGCCTGCTTGAGACGATGGACAGTTCTCTCTGTCCTGCCCAAATACAAGAAGATTATCGACATATTCTGTATGCATGAGATCTGGCTGCGGGCTGGGGCGCCGATCACGAACACGAAGATGGTCACCCAGCCCAGCCTCGTGAATCAGATTCTCGTGGATGTGTTGGCAAACCCATAAGGCCCAACTCCACCCCGTGGGCACAACAGTAAGTCGAGGATAGTACTTGCAGCCAGCGCAAACAGGCGAGCCTCCAGCCGTCGAGTGTCCACTGATGCATCCACCGGTGGGAGCATAAGACCGCCACCAGGATCGAGCTCCAGCTTTCCCAGGGCCTCTCCTGTGCAAAGCTGGACATAGTCTGGGTCCCTGAAGTGGCAGTTACTTCGGCGAGCATCAATTATCATCCTCAACATGCCATTCTTCTTGCTCACAAAAAACACTGCAATCTCCTCCACCCCCGGCCCATCCACAAACTCAACAAGGTTGGACTTGCAGAGCCTGTCAAGGAACTTGCCGTAGGTCTTGGGGTCCCGAAGCTTTGGGTCACTGTAGGGGTGCACAACACCTGTGGCCTCCAACCGCTGCTGCACCATCTCCGCAGGCAACAGTTGTTGCTGTACGTAAACGTCAACCGAAGTTCCCTCGATCGAGCCTCCCAAATCGCACAGAGGGATAGGAGACCACCCCCCCGACGGTAAAGAAACCTTTTCGAGACAGAATGACGTCAGGGCACCCGTGGCCTGGCTTTCGTCCACATAGCCCTCACACCGAAGCTGCCGTAGCGCTTCTGGCACTGTAACATCGGCCGGCGGAGGACCCAACCGGCGCACCGCATTCTGTATACGGAGAAGAGCCTCAGCCTGTGCTGCCGAGACACGAGAAGAAGGTAATGAATGAATGGGTCCCACCGTGCTCTTCAAGGTGGGGTCGTACATTGAATTATAAGGCCCCGGATCGCCGCGAACGTTGACATCGTCAATCTGCTTCTGCCGGCGCTGCCATCGTTGAAGACACCCTCGAGAAAGAGAGCGATCAGGAGGATCCTGGCAGCCCACCTCAGGCAGCGGGAAGATATCGCGCGGCACACGGGGATCATCATGCAAGGGGCTATGGAAGCGGGCGGCAGCCGCCCCTGAGCCGCCGCCCGTCTCTGTGTCATGCATCATCTCGGCCACCCCTCTTCTTCCTCGCGGCCTCACGTTCTTCACGGGCCTTCCTGAGGTTCTTAGAGAGAGTGGCTTCGCGTTCGACCTCTGTTTTGACAAACTCCAAAAGATCCGGACACACCATTAAGGTAGAAGCATGCCGAGTGAGGCCACCGAACACCTGCTGCTCTCGAGGGCCAATTTGCCCCCGATCGCTTTGGCCTCCATCTCCCTGGCCTTCTCGGCATATGCTCTATCGTCTGCATTCTCCGGAACATGACTTCCACCGACATGAGGTTGTAGCCATTCAGCTGGTCAATCTGCAAGGCATGCCTCACCATCATAGTCAGCTGAAAATGCTCCTGCGCGCCCCAAGCCGATCCATCAACTTTGCACAAGGTCCTAAAGCGTTCATGGTGACCCTCAAGGCCCATGCCTTCGTTCACCAGATAAGCAATGCACCACCTGGCCGCCCTTGGCCCGGACATGTTCCAGCTCACCGGTGACTGAACACTCCTTGCCGCGGCATCCTTCAAAGGAAGATCCGGCTTGCCAAGACTGTCCAGAAAGACCCTTCCCGTCCTGATGTCCCAGCCGCCCGGGGCTGACAAGAAGTCTCCACGATCCCTGCCACGACAACAGATAACAAACAAGGACCTTCCGGAAGGCAGCGTATGAACAGCTTTTGCCCCGTCAGCCGGGACAGCTAACACACCACCAATGGCGTCACCGCAGCTGATGTCCTCCAGGCAGGGCCTCGGCGGCCAGCCAATAGAGGACGTCCGGCTCAAAGGTCACCGTGTTGGAGGCCCCTCCAGGCAAAGGCGCCTGAGCAGCTTGCCCGACAACCGGGCAGGACCACAGGAGCGCCCACGGCGCCCGCGCGCGCCAAGTTGCCCAGACCGGCACCTCCCCCATCGGCAGCGGCCTGGGCCGCGATCTGACGCCCAGCTTCGGCCTTGAAGCCAGCCATCTCCGCAGCAGTGAACGGTGGCAATGTATAGACGTGAGAGGCTCGCAAACCAACAGGCAGACCGCCACCCACAGAGCGGTGACGAATGCCACGCAAGTCCGAGTTCCCCATCGAACAGTCTTCGATGTATATGTCCCGATCAGGTGTCACTACCACATACTGCTCATCTACATAATGCTCGAGGATGTGTCGCTCATGCCATAGAACCGGCCCGGGTACATCATATTGGAGAAAGATCTTTTTGTCAACGAGTGCCATGACGTCGCCGTCTGATCAAGGCAAGTTGCTCCTGGGCTAAGGCTCGCCGGCTGTCTGGCGATGAATCGCTGGTGTCCCCCTCCTCTTCAGATGGAGTTCTCGGGCGCCGCTGGCAACGGACAAAGCAGTGCCGAAACCACCCCGCAATGGCAACGCCGGAGTTAATGAAGCTCACGACCCCCAAAATCCAAATCCACACCGAGAGGTTATCTGAGGAACGGTCAGAAGATTTTTGTTTCCCCGGCTTCCCACCTTTGCACTCACACCTCAGAGGCTTGCACTGAACCACAGCTGTTTCGGCAGCTCGCCGAACTGCGTCAAGCAGGGCTTCTTTCTGGAGGTGCCGGGGGGCCCAAATCTCCCCAGCAAATATACCGCTAAGCAATCCTGTCAGATGCCAACCCACGAAAGCAAATCAAGACGGCTGGCCCAACCCCATGGCATGCGCTAACTCGTTCCTTTAAAGACTTGAGCATATTCACATGCGGCCGTCAAACGTTCGGAAGGCCTGCGATCATACCTGTTCAAGAACATCAACAGAAACTGGGCCAACTCCACTTTGCTTTAGCACGTTTGAGTATCGGATCCTGTCTGGGATGCAGCTTTGCGCATCTTCGAAAACTGGGCCAACTTCAGTTTGCTTCAGCACGTTCGAGTTCGGATCCTTTCTAAGTTGCAGCTTTGCACATCTTCGAAAACTGGCCCAACTCCAGTTCGCTTGAATTTCGTTTGAATATCGCATCCTGTCTGAAATGCAGCTTCGCACATCGTCGAAAACTGGGCCAAGTCCAGTTTGCTTTGGCACGTTTGAGTATCGGATCCTGTCTGGGATGCAGCTTTGCGCATCTTCGAAAACTGGGCCATCTCCAGTTTGCGTTAGCACGTTTGAGTATCGGATCCTGTCTGGGGTGCAGCTTTGCGCATCTTCGAAAACTGGGCCAACTTCAGTTTGCTTCAGCACGTTGGAGTATCGGATCCTTTCTAAGATGCAGCTTTGCACATCTTCGAAAACTGGGCCATCTCCAGTTTGCTTGATTTTAGTTTGAATATCGCATCCTGTCTGGGATGCAGCTTTGCGCATCTTCGAAAACTGGGCCAACTCCAGTTTGCTTCAGCACGTTCGAGTATCGGATCCTTTCTAACATGCAGCTTTGCAAATCACTGGCCCAACTCCAGTTTGCTTGAATTTAGTTTGAGTATCGCATCCTGTCTGGGATGCAGCTTTGCACATCTTCGAAAACTGGGCCAACTCCAGTTTGCTTGAATTTAGTTTGAATATCGCACCCTGTCTGGGATGCAGCTTTGCGCATCTTCGAAAAGTGGGCCAACTCCAGTTTGCTTCAGCACGTTCGAGTATCGGATCCTTTCTAACATGCAGCTTTGCACATCTTCGAAAACTGGGCCGACTCCAGTTTGCTTGAATTTAGTTTGAATATCGCATCCTGTCTGGGATGCAGCTTTGCGCATCTTCGAAAACTGGGCCAACTCCAGTTTGCTTCAGCACGTTCGAGTATCGGATCCTTTCTAATTCTAACATGCAGCTTTGCACATCTTCGAAACTGGGCCAACTCCAGTTTGCTTGAATTTAGTTTGAATATCGCATCCTGTCTGGGATGCAGCTTTGCGCATCTTCGAAAACTGGCTCAACTCCAGTTTGCTTCAGCACGTTCGAGTATCGGATCCTTTCTAACATGCAGCTTTGCACATCTTCGAAAACTGGGCCAACTCCAGTTTGCTTGAATTTAGTTTGAATATCGCATCCTGTCTGGGATGCAGCTTTGCGCATCTTCGAAAACTGGGCCAACTCCAGTTTGCTTCAGCACGTTCGAGTATCGGATCCTTTCTAACATGCAGCTACTCCAGTTTGCTTCAGCACGTTCGAGTATCGGATCCTTTCTAACATGCAGCTTTGCACATCTTCGAAAACTGGCCCAACTCCAGTTTGCTTGAATTTAGTTTGAATATCGCATCCTGTCTGGGATGCAGCTTTGCGCATCTTCGAAAACTGGGCCAACTCCAGTTTGCTTGAATTTAGTTTGAATATCGCATCCTGTCTGGGATGCAGCTTTGCACATAGTCGAAAACTGGGCCAACTCCAGTTTGCTTGAATTTAGTTTGAATATCGCACCCTGTCTGGGATGCAGCTTTGCGCATCTTCGAAAACTGGGCCAACTCCAGTTTGCTTCAGCACGTTCGAGTATCGGATCCTTTCTAACATGCAGCTTTGCACATCTTCGAAAACTGGGCCAACTCCAGTTTGCTTGAATTTAGTTTGAATATCGCATCCTGTCTGGGATGCAGCTTTGCGCATCTTCGAAAACTGGGCCAACTCCAGTTTGCTTCAGCACGTTCGAGTCTCGGATCCTTTCTAACATGCAGCATTGCACATCTTCGAAAACTGGGCCAACTCCAGTTTGCTTGAATTTCGTTTGAATATCGCGTCCTGTCTGGGATGCAGCTTTGCGCATCTTCGAAAACTGGGCCAACTCCAAATTTGCTTGAATTTAGTTTGAATATCGCATCTTCGAAAACTGGGCCAACTCCAGTTTGCTTGAATTTAGCCTGAATATCGCATCCTGTCTGGGATGCAGCTTTGCACATCTTCGAAAACTGGGCCAACTCCAGTTTGCTTGATTCTAGCTTGAATATCGCATCCTGTCTGGGATGCAGCTTTGCACATCTTCGAAAACTGGGCCAACTCCAGTTTGCTTGATTTTGGTTTGAATATCGTATCCTGTCTGGGATGCAGCTTTGCACATCTTCGAAAACTGGGCCAACTCCAGTTTGCTTCAGCACGTTCGAGTATCGGATCCTTTCTAACATGCAGCTTTGCACATCTTCGAAAACTGGGCCAACTCCAGTTTGCTTGAATTTAGTTTGAATATCGCATCCTGTCTGGGATGCAGCTTTGCACATCTTCGAAAACTGGGCCAACTCCAGTTTGCTTGAATTTAGTTTGAATATCGCATCCTGTCTGGGATGCAGCTTTGCACATCTTCGAAAACTGGGCCAACTCCAGTTTGCTTTAGCACGTTCGAGTATCGGATCCTTTCTAAGATGCAGCTTTGCACATCTTCGAAAACTGGGCCAACTCCAGTTTGCTTGAATTTAGTTTGAATATCGCATCCTGTCTGGGATGCAGCTTTGCGCATCTTCGAAAACTGGGCCAACTCCAGTTTGCTTGAATTTAGTTTGAATATCGCATCCTGTCTGGGATGCAGCTTTGCACATCTTCGAAAACTGGGCCAACTCCAGTTTGCTTGAATTTAGCTTGAATATCGCATCCTGTCTGGGATGCAGCTTTGCACATCTTCGAAATCTGGGCCAACTCCAGTTTGCTTGAATTTAGTTTGAATATCGCATCCTGTCTGGGATGCAGCTTTGCACATCTTCGAAAACTGGGCCAACTCCAGTTTGCTTCAGCACGTTCGAGTATCGGATCCTTTCTAAGATGCAGCTTTGCACATCTTCGAAAACTGGGCCAACTCCAGTTTGCTTGAATTTAGTTTGAATATCGCATCCTGTCTGGGATGCAGCTTTGCGCATCTTCGAAAACTGGGCCAACTCCAGTTTGCTTGAATTTAGTTTGAATATCGCATCCTGTCTGGGATGCAGCTTTGCACATCTTCGAAAACTGGGCCAACTCCAGTTTGCTTGAATTTAGCTTGAATATCGCATCCTGTCTGGGATGCAGCTTTGCACATCTTCGAAAACTGGGCCAACTCCAGTTTGCTTCAGCACGTTCGAGTATCGGATCCTTTCTAACATGCAGCTTTGCACATCTTCGAAAACTGGGCCAACTCCAGTTTGCTTGAATTTAATTTGAATATCGCATCCTGTCTGGGATGCAGCTTTGCGCATCTTCGAAAGCTGGGCCTTTAGCAGGTTTGATGAAAAGTCCCCCCCCCCCCCGCGCAGTCAAGAGTGAAGCCAGGGTTCTGCATGCTGCAGGGCTCCTGGAGGCCCGATGTTGGAAGGCACGCTTTCGGCAGAGCTCGTGCCGGGAGCTCCAAGAAGCCTCAGCACATCTCAGCACTCAGCGAACGCCGTTTCCACTTAAGCGGAAGCGGAGATAGAAGAGGAAGAGAGCAAGGAGAGGCGGCGAGGCTCGGCGAGGCTCGGCTCTGGGCGTTTCGATTTCCCGCCAGGCACCTCAGGCTGAGGCAGGCTCTTGGCGGCTCTTGGTGAAGCTGAGGCTGTAGGCACTGTAGGCTGTGGGGTGTGTTTGCTGTGGGCGGTTCTCTCTTTCTCTCTCTCAAATTTGCGCCTTGCTCTCGCCCTTCACCCGGAGCCGCAGCTGGCACTGTGACACGTGGCGGTGGCCCGGGAGTGCTTTGCGAGAGACCTCACGGCTCGCAGCGAAGAGGCGGAGAAGAGACGGAGGAGAGGAAAAGCGGTCAGAGAGGAGAAGCGTCACAGAGGCTGCTCAGGCGCCAGCTCCGGGACCCTCTTCGTCTCGAGGCTGCAGGAAGAAGCGCAGGCAGAGCTGCAAGCCGCCGCCATCCGTGGGCAGCAGCTGCAGCCTCGGGCCGGAAGAGGGCACAGCTGTACGAGGGGAGGCGAGGGGCCGAGCGCCCGGCGCGCCGCCGCCCTCGAAGCAGCGGGCCAGGAGCGGCGGCGCCACGCGCGTGACCAGCGGAGGACTCGTCACACTCCAGCGCCTCACTCTGAAAGCTTTGCCCCACTGCGGCCCGCGGCATCCCTGAGACTGACAAAACTTCAGCACTGCCTCCTTTCCTGTGAGAAACCCGTGAGAAAAGTGAAACCCGGTTGCGCAGACCTGTGAGAAACTTGTCAGGGAAGGGATTCACCGGCCAGACCCAAACCCTGCTTACGGCTCCTCTGGGTTGTCACAGGTTTCTCACCGGTTTCTCTCAGAGGTTTAATTCTCACATGATTCGAAATAGATATATTTTGCCCCACTCCATTCATTCCAAGACCCGGCGGTCACAACACTATCCGTCTCGCACCTGCGGTGAGCGAGAGGAAGAGGGAAGTTGAAGAGTGACCAAGAGTGAGAAGAGGGGAGGAGGAATGATCGCAACTTCGTCCCTGAATGCATCACGTCTGGCGTGCCTTTGTGAGAGCCTCGCGGGCATTCGCGGAAAGTCGTAATTCTGTCGTATTCTCGCGGTTTCCACATGGTTCCCGTTGTCCCGACTTTTATGCGGCTCGTGGTCGGCACAATAGAAGCCGGATACACATGGCATGTGCAATTCCGATCGAGTCTGAGTCAAGGTCAAAGGAGACGCACCGCTCGAGGTGTCCGCTAGGCGCAAGGCCACGAGCTCCGGAGCACCTGCCGCCGCGGCTGAGGAGGAGCGGGCGCTAGCATAAGCGTGCACCGCGGCGGCACCGAGCTCTGAAGAGCCGCCTTTCGGAAAGCCGATCCGCACGATCGCCGATTCCTTCTGGCGCCCGAGCTCACAGCGCCATGTGCAGCATGCAAAGTTGAAGCGATCGGAAGCGATATCTGGCCTGGTCGCGAAGCGAAGGGCCGGGGCGCCTCGGAGTCTCAGTCGGTCTCAGAGCGTGGGCGCAACAGCGGCGAGGCCACGGCTGCGGCGGCTGAAGCGCTGCCTCCACGACCACCGGCTCCTGCCAGCCTGCGCTTAAGGCGAAAGCCGGAAGCCCCTGCAGCCCAGCCCAGCCCAGCCCAGCCCAGCGGCCCTCGAAGTCGGAGCGACCCCCATGGAGAACCGCCTCCTGCCATCCCGCGTGATAGCATAAGATTACACGTCGACCAAATCCCAGCCAGCCACACACACACATAGAAGGAGCCTATATGTGAAAGTAACGCATGTCTCCCAACAAGCAGTTAAATGTCCGTCGCTGTTCGTCGCTCTTGAGGGGTGGTTTCCTTGAACTGGAACTTGTAGGTCTCGGAGGCAAAATGCTCCACCTCGGAAAAGGAGATCGCGGAGCCAGACGCTGCCGTGCTTCCGCGGCTCGAGCTGGAGCTCGGTTCCGGGGGGGGGGGGGTTCCGAAGTTCCGGGGGTGTCCGGGCTCTGAGGCGTCGACGTGGACGGAGACCCAGGGCCTCGCAGCCCAAAGGAACGCCGTGGCCGAGGCCTCCGCCGCCTCCGCCTCACCGACAGTCGGAGCTCGCGGACCGCGGCGAGCAGCGGCACATGCATGCGCAGGCAGACGGCGGCTCAACTTTGGGCCGCTCTCCTCCTCGGCTTGAGCCGGCTGCGGCTCCTCCTGCAAAAGCTCTTCACGCCACGGCCGCGTCCCCCGCCGCAAGCAGCGTCCCCGCCGGGCGTCCTCGTCGAGATCCAGGCGGAGCGGCAGCGGCTGCCGCGGTGGCCGCACCGGCAAAGGTGTCCGAAAGGCCGCAGAGACTGCCTCCGCAGGCAGCGCGCGGCGAGCGGTGAGCGGCTCGCAGCTTTGCTTTCAAGTCTCAACCGTTCCGGTCCTTGCTGTCAGAGAAAGCCCGCTTGCCAACGCAGGGGTACCGAGCATCGACACGGACTTGGTACCTGAAACTCAGACTCGTAAGAGCCAATCGCGCAGAAAACCCACAGCCACAGCAGCCACAGCAGCCAGAGCTGCTCTGCAGCTGCTTACCATTGGTCGGGGCGCAGCCCACGGAGTGGGAACCCGACCTGGAAACGTGGCGCGCAGGGCTCGGCTCAGACGTTTCCTTTGGAGCCAGAGCTGCCTTTTCGGGAGGCTCTTGAACGTGGAGGATTCCTGCCACGACCTGGCGCTAAAAAGCCTGAGGCGGCGCGGCGCGCGATCCGATATCGGCTGAGGCGCGGGCTGCATCCTCCCAGAGGACCGCCGACTCCGGGCCTCGTGATGACCGGATCTCGCTGCGGCTGTCGCCGCTGAGCTCTCAGCTGCCGCAGATGCCGCCCGGCGGCCCTCCAGCTGGCAGATGCTCACGCGATACTCCAGAGCGCGCAGGGCACCCTGGCGCTCTAGCGGAGAGCAGAGGATCTAGAGCGCTTATACGCTTCCTCTGAACTTGCAGACCTACTACAGAAGCAGCCTCGGTGGCAAAGGGCCTCCAGAGCGCCTTTTTCGGCGACGGCAGTGTGAATGTTTCTGCAGTGCTCAGAAGAGCCGCGGAGTCCGCTGCAGGCACCCCAGGCACCTGCGCCTCGGAGTCCGTCAAGTCCGAGATCTCCACATAGGGGTCCGAGTCCTCAGCTTCTGAGCCCAAGCCGCTGCGGGAAAAAAGAACCCGCAACCTCTCTCGCGCCTTGGCCTCAGCGCCCGAGGCCTCCGCACTGAGCCTCAGTCAGAGCCAGAGCGCAGAGCCGCAAACCGCGCGGAGAGGAGGCGACTCCAGACTTGCACTTAAGTGCTGTCTCTGGGCGCGAGGCCGGGGGCAAGGCTCCGGCCTGAGCGTCGCTTAAACGTACAGCAACCAAGGCTCATAAGGCTCAAGCTTTGAGATCCGAGCGATTGCCGAAGACTGCAAGTAATCGCAGACCGACGTGACGGAATATGGATCCAAAAAGCAATGTTACTCAGCTATGCCTGGTCTCTGCACATGGTTCCAGGACCCCGACACCTCCACTGACAGAGCAGGGCTGTCCTGCGAGAGAGAAGCGCGTTTCTTCAGATAGAGGAGTGGGCGGAGCCCCGCAAGCGCCTCCGACCAAGGTGACCACTTGTAAAGTGTCCCCAAGCGGACGCCGAAAACGGCGATGGCGGCCGGCAGCGCCTCAAACAAGACCGAGACCCCGCACTGCGGTCCGCACGCCACCCCTTTCTGGGGGCCTCCTTGTAGGTGCACTGCCACGTCTCATCCATCCTCAACTTGACCCCACAACTTCTATGACGCAACCAAGCAAAACCAAGTACAGAATGACACGACGCCAGAAGCACTTCACTGAGCTCTTAGCCGGAAGTCTGCCTCCATCGCCTTGTCAAGCCGAGAACATCGCGTCGCGCCCGCACCTTCCACGCCTCCTCCGCACTGCCGCACACCGCCTACTGACCCCTGCTGGCCCTCGACCCTCCCGCACACCGCCCGCGTCCACGTCCGTCCAAGGACACGGTCCCTTCTAAGTCTAAGTCTCTTCCGTGCAGGGCATCTCGCTCACCCCACCCTCGAGGGGTGGTAAACGGCGAGGAACCAAAGCAGAAGGCCCAGACAGACAGACCGAAAGACCGACAGTGCAAATTCAACAGTACAATCTACCCTTACCCGATCAACCAAGATCAATCCTTTTCCCGACAAAAAACACTCAAGCCGACATTCTTTTGTGATGTCAAGCCGATCTGTCCAATCTTGAGCCAATGCCATTCGGCATGAGAGCATTCAGAAATGCATCAGCATTCTATAGGGACGGTTATCAGACAGACCGACAGACGGACAGACCAACGGACGGACGGAGACAGGACCGCCAAGCTTCGATCTCGGAGTCGCGAGTGGCTCTGACTCTCCGATCCCACGCTGCGGCATCGCGGCTTCGGGGCTTCGGCTCGCTGGGCTCCCGCGCGGTCGGCGGAGAGGTGACATAGCTTCCCGAGGCCAGCTCTGCCGGAAAGAGAGCCTCCACCGCGAGCGAAGGGCCCCAAAGGCCCCAACTCTTCTGGTTGTCTTTCTCTTCTTTCTGCCTCTGACTTCCTCTTTCTCTGTCTGGGCCTCGTCGTTCGACGGGAGGCTCTGCAGCACCCGCCAGCGCACCTGGACCTGCTCCGAGGAAGACGTCCAAGACTCCCCAAGACCGCAGCTCCACGCCTTGCTGGGCATGAGCCCTGCTGCCCAGGAGGACCTGCAGCAGAGATATATGGCATGATATGTTGAGCTGCTTGCGTCTGAGTCCGTTGCTGTTCCTTCGCCCTCCAAGGCCCGTAACAGTGGACCCCTCCAGTTCTCTGAAACCTCCAAGCGTGCCTGAAAAGTAGCCAACGACCCTTCGAGTCTACGACGCTAGGAGCCGCTAGGATCCAGGTTGCAAGACGAAGGCGGTACGGACACCAAAGTTCCAGCGAATTGTCACTCTCGCCATGTCACCACCTGCTGTTGAGAGAGAGGTTTCTCGAGGCCGCTCTCGTGAGGCGGCTCGGGGGTCCACTGACGCTGGCAGAAGCTGAAGTACAAAGGTACAGAGCTGCGGCCCAGAGAGAGTGTTGAGGTAGTAAGCCTGCATGTCTGCATGGCCGAAATGCAATTACCCAACGCAGCTCAGAGATCAGATCAGTCGGCCATTCGACAAACTAACTCATTAGCTGCCGCAACGACAACTCCTTCCTCCGTTTCGGTGCTTCACGTCGGGACTTTTTGGCAAGCTTGAGACACGCACAGCGATGCTTCTTTTCTGGGCTCCCGCACGTTCGCAAGTTGTCAAAGCCGGAGCCCTCAGCTCTTGGAAGATGCTCACACGACTCAGACTCTTTTGGGGTTTTGTGGCCTCAGTGCCCACCAGCCGGAGCCTTCAGCAGAAAGCTCCGAGTCTGAGGTGAGAGCACAACTGGCGGTAACTGGGCTCCCGACCACTCCATATTAGGGAGCCTCCAACTCAGGGTCACCACAGCCTAAGTTATGCAGCCACGCGTGGCGGAAAACCGCTCCGTGCTTCCGTGCTTCGCTGTGCAGGCGCACCGGCACGACGTCGGAGTCGCAGCGCAGCTCCGCTCCTGAAGAGCGCTGCCGCGACGGGCTCACACGGGCTCGCCGATGAGACGTCTCTCCATCCTTCTGAAAAAAAGCTTGAAGAAGAGCCTTTTCTGAGCTTGCCACGGAGGTGCAGGGGCGGATCCAGAAAGGTGCAGATGGGATCCGAGGCCGCGGACTGCAAGTTCGCCACCTAAACCCACGCCCCACATAGCATAGCACACGCTTCGGCAGAAGGGGGCAAGGGAAGGGGGGGGAGGGGGCTCGGCGGCTCGGGGGCTCGGCTCTCTCTCGTCTGCTGCTGCACATGCGCGTCGCTCGGCTCCGGGCGTAGAGGCCGTCGTTCGGCTTGGGCCCCGCCAAGAGCACCATCCTGCGGAGCGCGGCGAGAGCAGCCAGACGGCTCAGTCTGAGCTCTCTCTTTTAAACCACTTTCAAGCGGCTCTGCTCTCTGCTCTCTGCTCTTCTGCGGCTCTGCTCTTCTGCGGACTCGCGTCCTGTACTGGATCCGGCTTTGCTCGAAGGCGAAGAGCCGGCCCTCCCATCGCAAGCGCAGGGGGGGGGGGGGGGGGCCCATCCGCGTGAAAACACCAACCAGCAAGCAGCTGCAGGGACTCAATGGGCCCTTGGCCTCTTCGTAGCCGCCGGCCGGCATCGAGATGCGTTCCAGCTCCTTGGCATCCCGCCAATCATCGGCGCTGGCAGCCTCTCACAGAGCAGCAGAGCCAGCGAAACCCTCGAGCCCCCGATAATTGAAACATCTACATATGTTTGAGGATCTTTGAGGGGCTCCAGAGGCGGCGGGCAATTGCTTATATATATGGGGAATACTCAGGTTATCTACTACAACTATAAGGCTATGTAAACCATGTAATGTGCATGCTGCATGCGGCATAAATCATACATAAACGGACTTATGAAGTGATGTTAAAGCTTCGTGAAAATAGTGAGCTCGTCCACGCATGCGATAGATCACGCAAGTGAAAGAAAACGTTTATAACTTATATAATGGAAGCATCTCGAAGTGTATAGTGAAGTTCATGCGAATGACGCAATTCTGGCTTTGAAAGGCAATGAGCTTTTTGAAGCAATAAATATGTAAGATTATACAAGCTTCTGGAAAGATGTGTATTAAGTAGAATATGATTATATAAGAAGTCAAAGCACGTTCAAGACAAATGAAGCTAATACTGAGTTCAATACTGTTTTGAACTGTCTTTTTTGAGAAACGACAAATAAAGGACTGCTCAACAAGGCCTTGTCTGGATGGAGCCAACTGGAACCTCAAACCGCGCATCTGTGGAAAGAAAACCTGAGAATCGGCGCCTCGCGTTGCTCAACAACAATTATCAAACTCTGTCGACTGAACTGCGCACTCACGGTCGTATATGCGCACGACCAACTTCTGAGTGGCAGAGCTGCAGTAAGTCTTGCGGTGCCACTCGCGAAGCCATCGTTCTAGCAACTCGAATACAGCCCAGATCCATCACCATCGAAATTAGGATCAAGGCTTTTGGGATATTCAGTGGAGGCCATGAAGGAATTGCTCATAATGGCAGCAGCTGCACTGTTGTCGGCGACTGCCTCACCTCCAGTGGACGGCATCAATGAGTCCTTGGAGTCAGGCTTGCCTCCATCTCTGCTCCCTTTCCTGTCATCCCAGAAATTATTCTCTTGCCACTGCCGGGCTTCGGGCTGCTTCAGCCAAATGACCGTTTCTTTGAGTTTTCCTCCGGAGCCGTTGCCCTTGTCTTTGCCTGTGCGGTTGCTTTTGACTCCGTGCGTCATTTTTGGACCTGGAAGGCGTCGCCGAAACCATGCATAGGGTTTCAAGGAACCCATCGGTGCCATCCTCTTCGCCCTCAAGCCAACAGCTTTCACCGTTCTCCAGGTGGCCTTCTTCGATCACCAAGAAGGTATTGCGGCCAGGAGGCGCCAGGATAGGATTGTCGACAGCAGTCCTTGTCGTACAAACAACCGCCTGGTAAACTGGCAGAACGAAAAACACTCGGTTGCGGTGCGCCTGATTTGGAAACTGTGTCAGGAAGACGAGTTGCCTTGATCGGGGTCGTTCTGGAATGCTGGTCTCTGGTTCCTCTCTTTGGCACGGCACATCGGTCTAATGGCGTGATTGTTTGTTCTTTTATCTATCAGGGAATGACAAAACGAAAGCTCTCAAATCAGCATTGTTCGGATCCATGACGGCAGTGTAGGTATCGTTCCAGGCCTTCTGTGTTTTCTTCTTAAAGAATTGGAAGGTGGTGAGCAGCGTCCTCAATAGCACTTTGAAGTATTCGACTGCGTTGTTTAAATCCTCAGTGGCGATCTCTGTCAAAAGCCTGTTGTGAATGGCTGCTTCACTCTCCAGCCTATTACCCGAGGCTGGTCCACGCCTGTCTGAATCTGCTCAGTGATGCCGGCGAACAAGCTGTACTTGGTCCATCTTGCGACGGAGGTACCTTCGCGGTTACCTGTTGACATGCCGAAATGCGGTGCCGTTCTTGAAGGTGCCTGTGTCTGGTTTGGTTTGTGATTAGCGGTAGGATTCATGACGTGGAGATAGCTATTCTTCGTTTCCATCCTCATGGTCATACCACGCAGCAGGGCAGCTAAACGAGCGTTCCGACAGGTACTTCCACCGATGTTAAGCTTCCCGTTTTCCGGGAGGTCCACAGGCTTACAGCTGTTGTCTTTACTCTACTGACTCTACTCTGCTAGAACCTCGAGCAGCAAGCGTGAAACATGCCTGTGACCTGTGACACTCAACAACATTCAGCACTTCACCTCTCCCCCGCCTCCTGCCTTGGAGAAAGTAACTGAGCAATATGTCGGCCCTCTTCGCTTGGCCGGGCCGAGGCGGACAACGTGAAGCGTTTGCAATTGCTCAACATACGTACGATTGTGAGATAACTCCTCCAAACACTTGGGGGCACAGTCCCAGAGACTGCAAGCAGCATGGAACATGGTGCGTCATGTGATTCATTTTGACATGAGCGAAGGTGACCTCCAGTTCCTCGGCTGCAAAGAATGCCGTTATCTTGGATCTCTTCTCTAAGCAAGGCTTACCTCACGATTTTCACAGAATGACCTTGCCGAAACATTGGAGCCGCACCGGAAGACGAAAAGAGCCGTTGGCATTCTGCCCGCCAGGCGAAGTTGTGGCCGCAGCCGCATGTCGTCTGCACTGGAGCGAAGGCTCCGGGTCGACGGCTCTGCCGAGGGCTCTGCAGAGTGTGGAGCAACCTTCTCTGATAATGTAAGCTTAGGCTTATGGGCCCAGGCCACCGGCCTTTTCTTATGGTCTGAAGGCATTTTCTGTCCTCTCCGTGAGGTGTGAGCTTGAAGAATCTATCTCTTGCCTGTGCTGGAGGAGAAGAGCTGGCAGCTGCGGCCGGCCTTGTCTGGGGTGTCGCCTGGGCTCCAGGGCCGCGCTTGGACCTGAAGCGCACCAAAGCACCGCGCCGCGCATCCGATGCTTCATGCACCGCAGGCTCTGAGAGAGAGCCTCCCCTCCGGCGGCTGCCATGCGGGTTCGCGGGTTCTCTGCCCCTGCAGCCCTTATAAAGGAGGGCGGCAGTTGCCGGCGGTCGCCGGTCCCGGCCCGTCCCGCGCCGGCCTTGTAGCTGCTCTTGGCCTCCGAGGCGAAGAGGAGGCAGCGCTCCGCGGCGCAGCGAGGCCTCGGCCAAAGACAGCCGCGGAGAGTCAGAGACTCCGCGGCTGACCCTTTCCCAAAAGCGGTTTTCATAAATGCACACGCGGATTTTCGCAGATTTCTCCCGCTGAGGAGGGCGCTGACAGGATTCCGGCAAAGGCAAGCAGACCTCAAAAAATTCGCGTTGCTCCGCGTCGCCTCGTCGCCTCATCGCCCCGCTTCACCTCGCTTCACGCGGTCGGGCCCGGTCGGCCGCGCCGCGACTTCTCTCGCCGAGTCGCTGGAGCTGCTGGAACCTCCAGCAATGGCACCTCAGTGGGGCACAGACGTCACAATCCGTCGTCAGCGTCAAACGGCACGTCGCAGACGGGCTGCATCCGGTGGCGCTGCGGCTGCTTTGCCCTTCGCCTGCAAGACGCAAAAAAGGGGGCCAAGAGTTGGATCGTTGCGAACTCGAGTCTTGCTGCAAGCATCTCAACTTCCGCACAGGGTTGCGGCATGTTGCGGTTGCACCGGTCAGGCCGGTGAGGCGCCTTCGCCGCGGCCTTGCCTTTTGGAGGCATGGCACATTGCGAGTCGGGCTAGGCTGAAAGCGGCAAGCTAAGATTCTAAAGCCGGTCTGCTGGGGCAGCTCACAGCGGCTGCTGGGTCGTAGAACGTAGAAGCCGTCGATTTTGCATTCGACAGGACGTGGGGCCGCCTACACCTGCTGGAGCCAAAGACCATCGGCAAGGGGCAGAGAAGCTGCAGAGTAAAACTCTTTGAAGCGAGCGCGCGGCGCGAGCCGGAAGAGCCGGATTGCAGGCGTCTTTTTGATTTTCCGGAGGGGAGCAGAGTGCTCAGATGTCGTCGGCGTTGATTGCCCCGATGTCTTCGTCCTGTCAGAGTGCTCACGTCTCGCGGTCTGCGACACGGCGACACTGTCGCGGTCTGCGTGCCTCTGAGTCCGAGGAGTCGGAAGACCTCGGAGCTAAGACCCCCCCAACACCCCACACTCTCTCCGACGCTTTCTCTCTCTCTGTTCTCTCTCTCTCTCTGTCTCGGGCTGCGGCGCGGCGTTTGCGCCGGGGTTCCCGGGCCCTGCCTTGGCCAAGGTCTTGGCACCGATCGCCGTGCCTCCAAAAGGACTCACAGCTGGCGCAAAGATCTTTTCTTCCCTCTCAGAGTTTCGATATGAAGCCTTCTGCCAGAACCTCCTTTCTCACCACTTGCAACAACAAACTTCGTGGAGACTTGGGAATCGACAGCTTGTTTGGCCCTATTTGGTTAACTGAAAGACTTGGGCCGCATGTCAGCAGACCCAATTCCGGCGCCCGGCCTTCAAGGCGACGTGGACCTTGCACGTGCCAGACACGTCAAGAAAACGAGTCCACCAGGAAAGAAAACTTGAAGTTTTCAGGGGCTTGCTCAAGATGTCCATTCTTTCACGATGCTGCACTACGCCCTACAGGCAACACGCCCGCGCGTTGGTTTGTATACAACGAAAACACAATCGTGCCTCGTCCGACCTTTTCAAGATACTTTGCTGTCTTTCATACGAGTGTGCATCATTTCGACACCCTTGGAATGCTCTCCGGTTAAAGTTTCGTTGCTGCTTAGTTCATGAAATCTGCTGCGACCAGTCCCGCAACCGCAAACGCCTGCCAGACCATGTGAGCCCGTTGCCGCTGTGGTTGCCGTGTTGTCCATCCAACAACTCAGTGACTTGGACGCTGGCTCACGGAAATACTGCTCTGCTTGTCGGCTCAGTTGCATTGATAAGCGGGGAGTGCCGACAGTGGAGTTGCGCAGATGGGCTCAATCGGAAAACCGGTGGAGGGGACGGGCATAAAGCGAGAAGGGAATGGGCAAGTGGGGGAGCAACACAACTGCTGACGGGCCGGTGTCTCAACTAAGGACTACATCTATAAACCTTCTACCTGTATAGATACCTATAACACATTGCCAGCAAAACATATTATATAATAAATATGTGTGTACATACAGACCGACACGTTGCCTGACAGCGCATGTGTGTTCCTATAAGATGTATATGTATGCGTGTGTATGTACATATGTGTAAGTATGCCTTTGAACATGTTTCAGTGCGTGAGGGTTTGATCTCAGCATACTGCATGACAAGGTGATGGAACTCGGGCAATGTTGTCGTGCCGACCGGCGAATTTGGCAACACCAGGTTTTGAGGCCCGATCCCGCACAGAACACGCAACGACTACTAAATCGACAACAATATCTCACCCGAACGAAACTACAAGGTTGAATGTGCACAACTGCAGTGCACCTGGCCACTAGTCAGTCCACATACAGTACTGCAGTCTGAGGAGTAGCCGTGCATCTCTGTTAGCTGAGTTGCAGCTGTGGTAGCCATTCGTCTTTTGAAGCAGGAACTGGATTAGTGAGTGTCCAACCACACAACGAGCACACTTTTTGGTCTGAGCCCAAGACGTCTGTCCTACAGGGTGCATTCAGAATTGAACATGAAAACTACTCTCGCATGAGGACATGTCAACACGGCTCTTCAAGACAGGGAAATTTCACACCCGTCTTATCTGTAGTGTGACGTCCGAATCATGCTCGAATTTTGGTCGCTTTGGACCAAACCTACTTCACCGGATTATACCGGGAGCTTGCACGGTCAACCGAGCCGAGAACGGCGACTCAAGGCTCAAGGCTGAGTTCTTCAATCGTGAAGCGGAGTGCTTTCGGTACTCTCCGTATTTTGTGCGGCTTGCGCGGGCACATCGAGTACCTGTACGAGGTTGCGATCAATGCTGTGATTGATCAAAAGCGGTTTCATACTCTTAGTGAGACAATCCGCAAGTTGTAAATGCGTCGGTATCCATCTCAACTCATCACCACAGGGGTGGTACAGGACGTGCGTTAGCTCGTCCTCCTCCCAGAGCCCTTGGCGGAGTCCAGACATCTCAATGGCAAGGCGTTTATCCTCGCATGACTTTGGGATCGATGCTGTCAAGTGATCCGAGAGGGACCTGCAATCCGTATACTGCAGGTGGAACATCGATCTCTTTGCGACTTCTTCCCAGTTCTGTGACCGGGGCAGTTTGCCAAGTACTTCGAGTACAGCTGCTCGAATGCGATCTCCATGTTCTATGGCATGTTGCAACGAGTAAGCTTCACACTGTAGTGTGGCTCGACAAACCCGTTTCATGGTGGACGAGGAAAACGAAATGAGGTGCATCTCATGCGTCGGCGCATTCTTGTCCACCGCCGACTGTGCGAAGTGAGATAGTGGAAACGGCCTCTCTGCGACTTATGGTTCGCTTCTCCAGCGAAAGAAGCGTCGCAAAACGTGACAACGGCCAGATCCCCTGTGCCCCAGGGTAACTTAGCGCTGTACGTAATCGGCCTATCCGCATCTCCTAACGCCAGTGCTACTACGCGGTTTGCCTCACGGAGCGTATCCACCGTGGCTGTCGTAACACGCTGCTGCAGGGCGTTCACCCTATAGGCAAGATCAGGTCTCGTGGCGCGAGCCACCCAGGCCAGCGATCCTATGACAGATCTCAGCGCTGTGCGCTGGCCATTCGAGACTGGAGTCGAGCCCTTTTCCGATTTATGTATATCGATCGGGCGAATTGCACGCGTGTTGTCCCTACAGTTTATACTGATGGTCCCATCGGCGCTTTGCACATACTCGCGTCCGCAGAAGCGGAACTTCTCAGTCTCTATGCGACCGATCTTAAACTTATCCAGCAGATTCTGGATAGCTGGCTCGCCTTCGGCTGTAGCAGCCCACAGGAAATCATCCACGTGGGTGCACAAGCAAGCACACAAACGACCACCCTCTCCTGTAATATAGTACAGGGCTGACAGAATTTGCGAGGCGTTTAAGCCAGATTCTCTACAACTCTCCTTTATACGGAGGTAAAGGTTCCGCCCCGCGTCGGTGGTGCCGTACACGGGGACTCGGGCAATCATATACCCGGCTTTCTGAATTTCTGCATCGGGCACACCCTTAGGGTGTTTGGGAACCCGAAGGATGAGGAGGCGCTCAAGGGGTTTCCCTTGGAAGTATGCGTTCGTGATATCGGCTGCTTTGAGCCGCAGGGCTAACGAAACCGCCCATGAACACAGAAGGGCTATACCTTCCGGCTCGGCCGCGGGGCTATCTGCCCTAATATCCTCCTCATTCGAGATATGCTCGAAGTTTCCACATGCGACCAAGCGTGCTTTCCACTTGGGAGTGTATGCTGCTGTCCCCTTTAGGTGCTCGTTCTTATCGGTAAGAACCCATTTGGTGGGGATACACACGTGGCCAGCTTTTGTAAGCTCCTTAAACTCCTTGTCTGTGCAAGGGACCACCGCATTGAACTCGGTGTACTTCTGCCACTCAGTCTTCATCGCGGCATCCAGGCCTAACTGCACCTCCACAGGAGCCTTGTGATAGTCCAAGAGCGAAGCCATATAGCCAACATCGACATTAGAGCCGATGGCATCTTCCCCATCAGGGGTGAGAGCAAAGGCCTTGGATTCCGCCTCGCGACCATCCGAGGGCTCAGCTGCTGGCGCTGTCGTGCCAATCGCAGCTGTGTGCGATGCTGCTGCCAGTCCGTCGTCCTCTTCAGGGGCGTAGTGACACGGATGGGCCTCTGGCAGTCCGTTAGCACGTATGTGCTCCGCGAGTTTCGAGTGCTCGAGCCATAGGTGCTGGGCGATATTTCGCCGATGGCATCGCCGCCAACTGGCCTCCGAACACAAGAGAAGTGTCCGGTGAAAATCGTCGTGAGACTCGCTAACTATCCTAGCGATCGTACAGAGCCCCTGGTCTGTTTGCAGGTTGGCCTCAATCCCGCCCCGGTTCCTATTGCCTAACTCGGGGGCGTGACTGTACACAACTCCTTTTGCAAAGCATGTGGCAGAAAGCTCATCACAATTGTATTGTGGATGTCGAACGCTATACGGGTGACTCCTACAGTCAACGATTTCCTTGATCCCGTATTCATGAATTGAATGCGTTCCATAAACGTTTCGATGGGTAGATCCGAATGACCCATGGTGTAGATCCCATCGCTCTTTCTGCCAAAAGACTTCGGCGTATCCTTGTATATGGGATAGCCAAGATCCGACAAAAGCTGTATGTCATCTTTAGACAGCTTGCCAAGATCACTCACTGTATATGCAGAAATACTATACCGCTCTCCTACGAACTGCGCGACCATGTGCACGTCCTTTGGGCGAAACTTAAGAACCTTGTTCTTAGTATCATGGACGGTGCCATGCATTGTCGCGTTCTGAACACGCACGGGAGTTGTACCCGTGGCTTCTTCCACCCATAGACCGCCTCCACGATACTCGCCCACACCTATAGTGTAGTTAAACGAGCCAGGAGTGTTCGTTAGGTCTCTATGGGCCTCTGCGCCTCTGTTGGTAAGCTGAACGCTACTCCACTGTGGGTTGTGGTGTCCGGCTTGCATACTGTGATGCAAGAGGTAGCGGTTGAGATACATAGCGAACGACGGCCTCTCGCGCGTCGGTCCAGAGACACCAACAAGACCACCGTGTCGATATACTCCTACCGCGAGGGCTATGCTCCGGGATCTCC